TCTGTCTCCTGAATCTCCTTCTTGCTTTTTTCTAATGCTTCCTCATCAGTTATCCAACCTGTGGGAGGAGGCATTATTTTTTCTTCCTTATCAATCATCCAACCTGTGGGAGGAGGCATTATTTTTTCTTCCTTATCAATCATCCAACCTGTGGGAGGAGGCATTATTTTTTCTTCCTTATCAATCATCCAACCTGTGGGAGGAGGCATTATTTTTTCTTCCTTATCAATCATCCAACCTGTGGGAGGAGGCATTATTTTTTCTTCCTTATCAATCATCCAACCTGTGGGAGGAGACATTATTTTTGGAGGTAACCCATACTTCTCAGAGCGGGGCACTCTCTTCTTTCTTTTGGGTGTTCCGTACAGTACGTAGAAATTGAAAGGACGCCCAGATGGCTCTCCCAATAAGTCTACTTCGCGGACTCCCTCTTGATGTAGTTGCTTAAACAGAGTATTACGTGATACTCCTCTCTTTTTCCTTTCTGCTTCTAGATCAATTTCTTCTTCAATGTCTGTCATCCCATCGTCCTCTTCATCGTTGTAGGCCCCTCCAGAAGTCTGGCCTTCTTCACACACTAGCACGCAGGCTTTTCCTTCGTTGTCCTCCCTCTCTTCTTCTTTTTCCTTATTTTTGAACTCATTGGCCAGTAAGTAATTATTGGCCATGACGGGAGGCAACGTACCGAATTGGATAGCAAGAGGCTCATCTGGATCTTCTTCATCCTTTTTATCTCTCTCAAACCTTGATCTCCCAAAAGAGGTCTCTGGCAGTTCTTTCATTGATTCATCTGTACCAGTTTCTTTATTACTCTTTAGGACGTTTTGATTGGCTACCTTGAGTAGTAGAGGTGCTTTAGGGTGTGGCATTCCTTGTTGCTGCCTCATCATCCGTCCGTAATTTCGCTGGAAACGCCTTTGTTGAGTCCTAGTCATTTCGTCGAAGGGTATTGCTCTTCCTGCAGTGTACTGGAATGAATGCCATACATTTGGCCGACGAGGTTGAGGCCTAAAAGTCCTTCCAACATCCGTTGGTCTGAACTGCCTTTCAAAAGGCGGTCCTCTATAGAATGATGTACCTCGTCCTCTGCCAGGCTGAACATTTTGGAAGAAACAGGGCGACGAGGATGCTGCCATGTCTCTGGTTTCTCCGTGTTTCCATTTACTTCCCTTTTACACCTTGCACACAGGACGTTTTCGTCCTTTTTTGGTTCTTTTCCTTTGATACGTTCAAAGACACTGGGTTGTGGTTTAGGATCTTCTTCTCCATCATCTATGACTAACTTGAATTTTGGTAACTTGTTCTTGAATCCAGATGTTACCATGTTTACCCCAAGTGGCTGTGGGAATGGATTCTCGTCCACTGCCATCTTTTTCTTATCGTCGAACGTAATTCGTCCTGACTCAATAGCATCCTGCAATACGTGACGAAAAACAAAGCAATTGTTAGTCAAATGTGACCATGCATTATGCCACTTACAATATTTTTTACCCTTTATTTGTTCAGGGTTTGGCAATTTGTGCTTATCGCTCAGTTTTATTTGCTTATCCCTATATAACTTATCGAATATAAGGTCAGCTTTGGTTACATCGAACGAGAACGTTCTAGCCTTTATGTTTCCATCCTTTACGGGTTCATCTTTGCCCGATGGTCTAGGTTTGGCCATTATGGGACAAGTATATGTATCCCCTTTTACTAATTCAGCCAAACACATTTCGGCCTGATCATACGATTCGTCATCGATGGTATGAACGTCAAAATTCGGGTCTCTGTAGTAAGTCCCTTTGCTAGAATTTTTTATTTGTTCTTCTTCTCTTATCAATCGCTCATACCTAATGACATTCGCACTTAACTGGAAAAGGTCGGGAAATTCCTTGTTGAAAAGCGGTGATTCAACACCCTTCTGTTTTCCCGGTAATGTTTGGCGTTTCCACCACTCCGTCAAGTATGCAAGACCTGAAAAATGAAGGCGGGGCTTTCTCCCCCGTTTTACCTCCGGCGTGAGAATTAGTTTTCAGACTTGGAAAGAACGTATTTGAAAATCAGATGGCTAAAAACGAGAATGGGAGCTAAAAAAAAAATCATCCCTTACCTGTGTCTCATCCGGGGGTATTTATAGATATTAGGCACTAGGTAACCGCTGGGCGGTTGTGATGCCACGTGTCCCATGATGCTATTCCCACTACACCCACGTTCTGAGTGATGAGTCCTTAACTTCCCGTCTGAAGATTGTACCTGTATCAGCGGCCATGTTACCTTGTCGATTCGTTAAAGGTTTTATGGCTAAGTGTTTGGACAAATGATATCATTCCCGTTGAAGATTTCGCTTAGTGGTAGAATGATTTCTTGGGGTAGCGATAGAGCGCCCTTTGGGGGTAGTGGTAGAGCACTCCCTAGACGTAGTGGTAGAGCGCTCCCTGGGTGTAGTGGTAGAACGCCCTATGAGGGTCGATGGCCTTGCATCAGTGTGCTGTGATCTGCCTTGCTCGTCCTTGGGGGTGTCTCCTTCTACCAACCTATATCAATTTCTTATTTTATTTATTTATTTACGTATATAAAAATTGAAATTAAACCCTATTTGGTGTAGCTAAAAATCGTAATTTCAATAGATTTTAATAAAAAATGATGAAATATTTATTTGAAAAAAATTTGATTCTCATGAAATGTGTGATGAAAATTAATTATTGACTTTTACTTAAATTTTAGAATAATACTATTTAACATTAGTCTATATAACATTATATGATAGATTCAATTGAAGGTAAAATTGAAACTTATTGAATCATTCAATTGTACCTTCCATTTAATGATATTTAATGCTATCTAAACTGATGTCGTAACATCAATAGTTTTAAATAACATACTTAAATTTTTAGTTAGTTTTTAGTCTAAATTAATCATAAAAGTTTCGCAGATTTTAAATTAGTTAAAACTCTTTCTAATGGTACTCATTTCTTCTCCTTCCAATGAAAAAAGTGATGGGGGGTGTAGTGATTCAACCGGGCCTTCGTCGGAGGATGCCGGCGGGAGTCCGACCGACCCACGGGGGGGTCGGTCGCCGGCCAGCGGGGCTGGTCGAACGACCAGCACCGCTGGTCGACGGGTGTCGACCAGCCCGAAGGCTGGCCGTCTACCTCCATCCATTAATTTTCGTGGTTTGTCCGGTCCTTCGATCCGCCCTTGTAGTGACTCGCCCCCTTCATCCAGTAAATCCCTTTATGATAGTGATAGTGAAACTCATTCAATTGACTCTCAGCCATTTGTTCCAAATCTCCCAAAGAGACACATTGGTTCTTCCAAATTTCCAGGCCAAAACTTGGAAATCGGGCGTGACCCGGCCGGTGAGGTTGTCCCCTTAGATATCCCAAAAAGTTATAGTCTCTACAATTCTCCACTCAAGTTAGAAAAATGTCTAGGAAAGTATGACCGGGTTGATGATTACGTCTATAGAGCCCCTGGTCCTAAAGAAAGGCTCCCCGGGTCCAACCCCCGTGAGATAGCCATGTACAAGGATGTTATGGACGGGGGTTTTCGGTTCCCCATTCATCCCTTTTTTGTATCGATTTTCAACGAGTTCCACCTTACTCCTAGTTAAATTAATCCTAATGCATGGAGAAAAGCGTTATATTTTCTGTACGTCTGTCTCAAAAAGGGAATTTCACCTTCCATGGATCTTTTCAAGTGTATCTTCGAAATGCATGAGTTAGTTCAATGTATTGCCTTTGTCTATTTTACCACTAGGGTACCTATGCAATTCCCCAAGTTTAGGAATTCGAATAGCGGATGGAAGTCCCGATTTTTCTTCATCCGGCCTTCAAAGGGTCAGTTTTCTTTTAACACAAACTGGCGACACCCCCAAATTCGTCTCTTCAATAGCCAAGTAGAAGCTACTCCCTTTCTAGAAGCTCAAATCCAGGACTTGGTTGATGTTCCGCCCCTTGCACCTGACTTAGGGTCAGTCCTTACCATGAAGAACATGTTGAAAGTGGGGATGAGTCGTCCAATTGGTAGGTCGTTAATGTTGTTTTTCTTTCTCCCTTTTTTTTTTTTAGCATGCACACACGTTCATTTATTATTGTTGCCTTTAGCTCGTCGAGACTAACGAGCTTGGATGTTTGTTTCAGGTATGGACTTTGATCTTGATGAGGTATTGAGGACTCTGCCAGGAGGAGATGAGGGCCTTACCCTCGTTGATGGTAAGCTTTCATATTCACCCCCACCCTCTCTTCCCCCCCTCTTTCTACCTTGTGAGTTTAACTAATTTCAACTTACATGTGCAGGGGCCGAGCTTGATCTCTACCTTGTGAGTTTAACTGATTTCAACTTACGTGTGCAGGGGCCGAGCTTGATCTGGAAGGAGTCCTGGACTCCATGCCTGACCAGGGGCAGGAGGGTGAGGTGGATCCTTTGCCTATCCCTTCAAAGAGAAGAAGGGGGGCCGACCTTGGGAGAAAGTCTCAGACGATCAACGAGACTTCTCAGCCTTTAGATGAGCCTCGTGATGTGGTTCCAGCTCCTAGGCCGGGAGCTCCTAGTCGTGCGCGATGTGAGCGCGAGGACTCGCTTCCTAGCTTTGGGTTTCCTCCCACCCGGGGCTATCATGAGATGGGGGTGCTTAAGTCGTTGATGACCCCCGCTCGATCCATAGCGATCGCAGGGCGCAGCGCAGATGACATAGAAAGGGCTGCGGCTGTTTATCTTCAGAGGGTATGTTTCTCATTTCGAGATTTTTTTTTTCTTTTTTTTTTTTATGTTGGATCTCGCTTTTTAAGTTAGACCTTAACTCGTGGTTTCACTCTTTTTCCCTTTATACATTTTTTTTTTTAGGTGGTGGCCCTCCAGACCGGACTCGCTGAATCGAATCGCCGCTAGCCTCAGAACTGAAAACTCTTACTGAAGAAAAGAAAAAGGAGGCTCATCACCACAAGAAGAAAATATCCTCCTTGAGGAAATCTCTGGAGATGTCGGACGCTCGAGCTCGTGAGCAAGAGACGGAGATCGACAACTTACGCTCTGTTTTGGCTCGTGCTCCTGAAGAGGCGGTTGAGAGGTATAAGGCCTCAGGTGAGTACGCTGGAGATCTCAAGGCGGCTGTGGATCAGTATAAGACATCGTCCGATTATGCTAAGGCTTTGAACTCATACGGGGGGAAGGCGATGTCTGCATCAATTAAGCTCTCCAAGGAGTGGATTATGGCCGAACATCCTTCTATAGACCCCTCCGGCTTGGATAGATTTCTCGCACAGCGCAAGGGAAAGGAGAGCGTAGCTCAGTCATCCAGATCACTTGGTCGTTCATCACAAGGGGGTAGTGGGGATGTCTCCCCTTCGAGCTGAAGCATTACTTAGTTGTTGTTTTCCTTGCTAGTTTTTCCTTTTTAGTGTTTACTTTTGCTTAGCCTTGTTATCTCCTACTTGCTTGGGATGTGGGCAAGAATTCTTCGAATGTATAAACACATCTTTCATTCGATATTATTGGCGCTGGATGCGTGGTTCCTTTAAAATGTCGTCTCTCATGTTATTTTTCTTTTTACTGCTTGATGTTGCGGGGGAGTGTTCATATATATATATATATTTTCCAAGGCTCTCCACCTAGTCGCGTATGCTATGTCGACTGCAGGGGGTGATTTGGTGGTTAAGGGCTTTAGTCAATTTTTTGACTTTTCAAGGCTCTCCACCTAGCCGCGTAGGCTATGTCGACTGCAGGGGGTGATTTGGTGGTTAAGGGCCTTAGCCAATTTTTTGACTTTCCAAGGCTCTCTACCCAGCCGCGTAGGCTATGTCGACTGCAGGGGGCGATTTGGTGGTTAAGGGCCTTAGCCAATTTTTTGACTTTCCAAGGCTCTCTACCCAGCCGCGTAGGCTATGTCGACTGCAGGGGGCGATTTGGTGGTTAAGGGCCTTAGCCAATTTTTTGACTTTCCAAGGCTCTCTACCCAGCCGCGTAGGCTATGTCGACTGCAGGGGGCGATTTGGTGGTTAAGGGCCTTAGCCAATTTTTTGACTTTCCAAGGCTCTCTACCCAGCCGCGTAGGCTATGTCGACTGCAGGGGGCGATTTGGTGGTTAAGGGCCTTAGCCAATTTTTTGACTTTCCAAGGCTCTCTACCCAGCCGCGTAGGCTATGTCGACTGCAGGGGGTGATTTGGTGGTTAAGGGCCTTAGCCAATTTTTTGACTTTCCAAGGCTCTCTACCCAGCCGCGTAGGCTATGTCGACCACAGGGGATGAGCGTGGAGTTCAAAGTTGCCCGTTGGCATAAAAAATTCCTGGTCTTGTGAGCTCAGTAGGCGCACCGGGACGTCCCAGCTAGGCTGGCCCTTCCGTAGCGCCCTCATCATCCGTCACCGCCAAGGTCTTTCATTGAATAAGATAAATTGTTACAACTAAGGGTGCCTTTGTGAGGCATTACATAGAGAAAATAAGCAATGCAACCTAATCTACTATATTTACAAAAGCGCAGCCGGCGAGTACATTTTGAGTTCTACTGGTAATACTTTTTGAGGTGTTCTGCATTCCATGGTCTACCTAGCGGCCTTCCTTTTATATCTTTCAAGCTGTAAGCTCCCTTTCCCAGCCTGCGAATCACTTCGTACGGGCCTTCCCAGTTTGGACCAAGCTTTGGTGGGGGGTGTCCTGCCGCTGCTGCATCTCTTAGAACGAGATCTCCTCTGGAAGACCCTTGGCTTCACTCTCCGGTTGAAGTACTCAGTGGCTCTTCGTTTATAAGCCATCATTCTTATCGCCGCCTTGTCCCTTACCCCTTCGAGGAGGTCGAGCTCTCCCCTAGTAGCTGCGTCGTCGGGTTGCTTGACTTTCATCCTTCCTGTCTCGCTTAAGATCTCAACCGGAACCACGACTTCCATCCCAAAGGCCAGTTTGAATGGCGTCTCCCCGGTCGACTCTCGGGGGGTAGTGTGATATGCCCACAGTACATTGGGCAACTCCTCAGCCCAAAGTCCTTTTTCTTTTTCTAATCTTGTCTTCAAATCCCATAGTATGGTTCGGTTGGTCACTTCCGCTTGCCCATTTGCCTGCGGGTGATCCAATAGTATGGTTCGGTTGGTCACTTCCGCTTGCCCATTTGCCTGCGGGTGAGCAACTGAAGTCAGCCTGTGGTCGATGTGGTAGCTGGTGCAGAAGGCTCTAAAACTGTGATTATCAAATTGTTTTCCATTATCTGTAATGATTACCCGAGGTATACCGAACCTGCATATGATATTTTTCCAGACGAATCCCTGTATCTTTGCAGTCGTGATGGTGGCCGAAGGTTCAGCTTCCACCCACTTAGTAAAGTAGTCGACGGCAACTAACAAGAACTTCCTCTGTCCTTTTGACATGGGCAAAGGTCCCAAGATGTCCATCCCCCATTGGAAGAAGGGACACACCCC